CGACGCTATACACGCGCACACAGCGTAGTTACACTGGTTGGATGCCACCCCTGAGTTGCTGCCTTGGGAATGAGCGAAAGGGAGTGGGGAAGAGAGCAGGGTGGGCAATTAAGATTGTTCTGAACATGCGAGCAGAGCTAATGCACCGGGATTTATTTGTGTGTGTGTGTGTGTGTGTGTTACTCAAGGCTGGCCAGAACAACCCAGAATAGTTCAGAGAAAAGATCCTTTGGAGAGGATTGAATGCAGCCAGTCTGGGTAACTGCACCTTTGATTGCCTTGAATGCCTTTTGGAAGAAAACAGGGAATTACGTCTCACTGCCCAATCCCCTGGACAAAAGCGCCTACTTTTCTTTCCATTTTACGGTGTTTTTCGTTCCTTGTGCAGAGTGAACAGCTGGGCAACCACTGTAGACCTCCTCCGGCGGCAGCAACAGCAGGTGCTTTAAGCAAATTGGGGAACCCCCTTGTAAAGAGCGTGGAGATGGGAGAGGGGGGGTGCCTGACGCTACGCTAGTAGCTTCTGAATGTCTCTTGAGAGAGAGCAATCCAGGAGCAGATCTGTCCATCCATCTGCCAGGATGTCCTTTTAAACACTGATTAGGGAGGCATGTGTTAGATTAAAGAAGGTTTGTGTCCAACTTGATTTCTTTGAGGGCCACATCAGGATTGTGTTTGACCTCCAGGGTGGGGTGGGCACGTAGGCCAGGGGGCATGGCCAGCTCAGTGTGACTCATGTCGGGGGGGGCGGCGCCTCTGGTGGTCCGAGCACTCTGCCAGCGAAAACAATGGTGGGGAACGGAAGGATTTATATTCCTTGAAGAAAGCTGGTCATTTGCCTCCTTTTAGAGGGTCGTTGAGGCCGCTTGGAGTTTTGTCTGTGTCCTCAGGCTCACCTGAGTTCTTTTCCCCCCAAAATTGCAAAAATAAAGAAGTAAAAAAAATACCTGCACACTTCAGGAACGAACAGCACTACTCAGGTGACCCCAAGGACACACATAAACCTCCAAGTGGCCTCAACAACCCTCTAAAAGGAGGCAAATGACCAGCTGTCTGCAAGGAATATCAATCCTTCCGTTCCTCACCATCCAGTCAGAGCTGAAGAAGCTTCTTGGATGAGAAGCAAAATGTCTTCAAAAGAGAAAACCAGAAAGTCCAGTTGCCTCCTGAAAAAAGCAAGTGATGCGGTACATCACCTCTGACTTAAAGAGGACATAGTAGAGGCTGTATCGCTCGTGTTCCCCTTTTCAGTCCTTTTCTGTTCTACTTCTAGCCAGGTGTGAAATTATCTCTATCAGCATTTCTAACAGGTTATTTCTTCCTTTTCCCTGGGAAAAGCCGCAGCGTTTTCTCACCAGTTTTTTTAGATTTTAGCCTGTACCACCGCTAATGATTTCAAGTCCTTCTCCCTCTTCTTGCTTCCTCCTCTTAGTCTTCTTTAACACACTGGCTCCCAGAGCATGTTAGAGATAGGATTGTTAAGTCGTCTTCTTTGCCTTTTCGATGAAGTGTGCAATTCCCTCTCTGTTGATCGTTGGTGGGTGGGAACATTTGGAAATCGATCAATCCCACGGTCATCTAATTCGGAATTTGCAATAAAGTGGACGCTTGCAATTGCGTGGGAAACACCAAGCCCCGCGGAAATTGGGAGATTCGGGCAGTTCAAATGAGTATATAAAGATTTATTGCAAGCTTAAGCCATCTACAAGAATCGGAGCTACTAATAGTCAAGGGAAATGAGCGAGAATTAAGAAGGCAGTCAAAGCAGGCTGGGCTCAGATTTCTTGTGGTCATGCAGAGACTCATGACTGATGATGTGTTTGACCCCTTCCTCGCCCTCAGCCTGATCATCTCCTACTGTTCTGACTCATACCTGGTTCCAAGGAAGCAAACACGAGGCAAAGGTAACAGCACAACCTTTTAATGTTTCTTTAACAAATCCCGTTCCTTCACGGGTAAAAGGCTGCTTCAAACCAAATAGCTCCGATAAGATAGAGCCTTGCCCAAGGTTTTGCAAGGCTGCCAAGAACACCAGATAAAGTTACTAAGCAACAATTCCAACACAAAGAGTCTCCAAACACAAACTAAGAGAGTCTGAACGTACACAAGGCTTGAGTGCAAAAACTTCTTTGCTTCCTGCAAAGAACTCCGGTTTCTCAGCTGGCTTTTATCTCTTAAGGGAGGGGCCATTACCTTGCAGCCCTACTCCCGAGTCGTCCTTGATGCTGCAACTGCTCTTTCCTTCGAGCAGCCCTGCATGCACACACACTGGGCACAGGCTCCTCTGGGACCTCTTCATCGCTGCTGCCAGCCTCCACAATCTCCGAAGGCAGCACTCCACTCCCTGATGGTCCTGGCCGCATCCCTGTATCACACGCAGGCCCCTCATCCGAATCCTCGCTGTTCGAGACCTCAGCCATCCACACCTGCTGCTGGCGAACCACAACACCTACATGAAAAGACTGCAGCCACTTTCTCTTTCTGCCTCGTCATCAAACTGAGATGACAGGTAATCCTCAACTTACAACAATTCATTTAGTGACTGTTCAAAGTTAAAACAGCACTGAAAGAAAAATGACTCATGACCATTTTTCACACTTACAACCACTGCAGCATCCCCATGGTCACGTGATCAAAATTCAGACACTTGGCACTTGACTCAGATTTATGACAGTTGCAGTGTCCTGGAATTATTTTGCACCTTTCTGTTGAGCAAGGTCAATAAGGAAACCAGAATCACTTACTAACTTAACAACTGCGGTGATTCACTTAACAAATGTGGCGGGAAAAGTTGTAAAATGGGGCAAAACTCAACTTAGCAACATAAATTTTGGGCTCAATTGTGGTTGTAAGTTGAGGACTACCCGTATCCTCATTTAAACAAGATTTTACAACAATATGATAAATTCACCCCAAAATAAAAGACATGGCATTTCCTTTTAGAAGTCTTTTGAAGCTATCGAAAGGCTTTCCAATCAGTAAGATTATAAGAAGTAATGAATGGCCCACCGTATTTGTTGCAATTAATAATTTGATACTTAAATTATTTGGAAATAATATGTTATACCCAAAAGCACACACATGTTGTGGTTAGCCAGCAGCAGGTGTGGACGGCTGAGGAGAGCGAGAACTCAGATGAGGGGCCAGGACCATTAGGGAGTGGACTGCTGCCTTCAGAGATTGTGAGGGCTGGCAGCACCGATGAGGAGGTTCCCGAGGAGCCTGTGCCAAGTGCGCTTGCATGAAGAATTGCTCGGAGGAAAGAATAGTTACAACAGCATGGGTGACTCGGGAGTAAGGCTGCAAGGTAATGGCCTCTCCTTCAAGAAGATAAAAGGCAGCTGTGAAGCGGACGTTCTTTGCAGGAAGCAAACACATTTTGAAACTCAGCCTCGTGGACATTACAGTATCTTACGTTGGTATTTGAAGACTCTTATGTTGTGAAATCTTTCTTATCTGTGATTTTTGGCAATCTCGTACAGTTTTGGTATGGTTTGTGCTTATCAAAGTTAGTTAGTTTGCAGCAGCCGTTTAACCGGGGATTCATAAGACTCATTAAAAGATTTCTGTTCCCTTTGATTATTGTTTGTCTTATTGGAAAAGGGTTTGGGTCAGAACAACGCACAATATTAGCATGCATCTGGGACCTTGCTAGCTTTTGACCTCTCTGGGTTCCAGCACGAAACGCAACAACCCGTAACTGAATTCAAAGAGTTAATAAACATTGCTTTTTCATCTATTTAATAGCCGTGCTTATTTAAAAGCAGCTTAAAATAGATTCCCTCCATTTTGTGTTGAAAGATTTCTGAAACATTGACAGATGCTGCTATCGTAACTTGCTAAGTATTTTAAAACAGGCAAGATGTTTTAAAGTTTTCCTTTTGCATAAATTATTGAGGAATTTATTGGGAGTCTGAGCAAAAGAAATGAGAAGGGGGACCGGAATGAGGAAAAAGGGAAAAAAAAAAAAGAAGGATCTTCACACAGTAGATGGTGCCAGCTAATCTAAAGCAGTATAAAGGCACTGAAGAGGTGGAAGAAGTAAATCGAATTACAACCATTCGTTTATTGAACGTTTAAAGTTTTGACAGCACTGAAAAAAGTGATGTATGACCAATTTTCACATGTATAACTGTTGTTGGTGCATCCGTCCTATGGTCATATGATCAAAATTAGGGAGCCTGGCAACTGGCATGTACTTTTGAGGGTTGCACTGTCCTTGGGGGTCAGGTGACCTCAGGGGTGGGATTCAAAAATTCCAGCACCCATTTCGCTGCCTGGTTGCTGAGTGGGCGTGGCCATGGTGGGCGTGGTCTACCAGAACTTCCGGGAGGGCCGTTTTTCACCTTCCTAGGGGTCCGGAGGCTTCCGCCATGCCTCTAAGGAGGGTGAAAATGGCCACCCCTGGGCTCTGGAGGCCCTCTGGAAACCGAAAACAGGCTCGTTTCCGGACTTCCAGAAGGCCCGTTTTGTTCCACTGATTAATTGTTCTGACTGTCAGGAAATTCCTCCTTAGTTCTAGGTTGCTTCTTTGTTCAGTTTCCACCCGTTGCTTCTTTTTCTTGCCTTCAGGTGCTTTGGAGAATAGCTGGACCCCTTTCCTCTTTGTGGCAGCCCCTCAAATATGAAACGAAGCCGTGCTCAAGTTTACCATTTGCAAATTAAACGAGTGTGTACGAGTTAACGTAATGGACATTGTTTATTGGGAATACAGGCCAAGAATGTTAAAACCATAAACCAAATGTAGGGAAGAAAGTGACAGAGGCTTTACATAAAAGTCTGCTTCCAATGGTTTGCTTAATCAAATAGCTGCAGCCTAATTCTTATTCGAAAAACGCTGGGATTCTCTCCACGCATAGACCTTTGCGCATGGTTTGGTATGCAACAAGAAGATTACGGTGAAATCATAATATAGTCTAGTGCAGCCCTTCATCCTAACAGACTGTGGACAGGCACAATTTTTTCTTGGAGGAACGTGCTCTGATCCTTTCCCAAAGAACATTTTTTATTTTTACATATTGGCTGTTTTCATGATTAAAATTTAGGATAATTGCATGATAACTACAAGTAAAGGGGTATATCCTGCAGATGACTTTAGGTTGGCATAATTTCAAAAGGTAGACTGCATTATGTTGATTTGTTTCTGATCTGCGATCGGCCTTTACTCCAATATTATTAGGGTGCTTTAATCTTCTGACATTAAGCTTTTGTTTGCACTTGATTGGATACAAAAATTAAGACAAACAATCCAAAAAATTTCAAGTAAAATCAGAACAATCTGACAGTTTGTTGGAGGATTAAATTATAAACATGGAAGTCATATTTTGCAGAGATAAATGACAATCAGACTTATTCAAGGGGCACTAGGGTTGGGGTTTTTGTTTGTTTGCTCATTGAAACGTCAATTCACAGACCCTTACAGAAACTCAATTGTCCTTACAGATTAACAGAGTTGGAAGGGACCTTGTAGGTCATCTAGTCCAACCCCCCCTCCTGCCCAAGCATTTACGTAGAACTGTGTTTTCAGGAAAGTCAGTTATAAGGAAAGAAAGTGAGAAAAATGGAATGCATACAAGTAGGATCTACAGGGAAAGAGGAATTTGTTAAATAAAAGATCATGGAGAATATATACAATCCATCCTCTGAAATGGGCTTGAGGCTTATCGCTTTACAAATAAATTAAAAAGGGAAAAAAAACCCAACAACATTTCAACATTTACAAATACCACACAGCACAATGCTTCCTTCAGTCTGTATATGATTCGGTAGGTTAGTTTGGATCGAATGTTATTTCCTTCATCGAGATATAAAGGTTGATCACATGGCATCAAAATGGAACCGGTGGGCTTCTTGCCTTTTCTCGCGATCATCTGCTTTCTGGAACAACGGCAAGAATAAAACGATTATTTTAGGGAGAGATAAACATGCTTTTGGGTGGCTGCACCTAATGGCTGAGGATCAGAACTGTAAAAATCACACAAAAAAAACCCCATTACCTGAAAAGATATTGCTGGAATGCTTGCTAAAAATCTTGATGGATAGTAGTTTATTAGGCATCAGGCTGAAGAAGCTAGCCAAAAAGGGGTCACTATAAATCTAACCTCTTTGGCGCAAGGCCACTGCTGGTCCATAAAACTTTTTTCTTTTAGGACAATAAAATAAAAAGGAACATGCGCAGGACAGGACATGCATGCTGAGTCTTGAGGGGTAAGTAGGGAGCTTTAAAAGTTCTTGTTCCAGTTTTGTTTTAAATAGGGTACCTCTCTTGTCCTATTCACAATGCCCACTTTTGACTTAATTGTATGTGTTGGAAGGATTATACTAATGGGGCAATGCTATCAATCTCATTAAAAACCCTGGGAAAATATGAAGTTCCCAAAAGATGGGTTCACTTTTTTTATAAACATAAACCTATTTCAGATTTTTTTAAAACATTGATGTATTTATTTTTATCCTGTCTTTATTATTTTTATAGATAACTCAAAGTGGTGAACAAACTTAGTTCTCTGCCCTCCTGTTTTCCGCACAGTAACAACCTTATAAGGTGATTTGGGCTGAGAAAGAATAATTGGCCCAAAGTCACCCAGCCAGTTTTCATGCCTAAGGCGGGACTAGAACTC